GCCTTATCAATCTATCCCCCGACCAGATAAAAGACAGGGAGGAAGGGGGGTGGCGGGGGGGGGGGGGGGGGGGGATAAAAATATGCAGTGTGAGGATATATATACACTCGTGAGTGGGTTCGTATAGATGCTTCAGTCCTATAAGTTGTGTGTTTTTTTTAAAGAAATAAAAATGTCCTCGTTAATTTGAACTGGAACCTGTGAAATGTCAGTGATCCTGAAAATACTGTAAATTCATGGAAAGTTGTTTCCGTTTACCAGTCTTATTTTCCAGTTTTAAAATATAAATAAGCTTAAAGTCCTGGTGAATTTTTGATTTCCTTTTTTTTTTTATCCGTTTTATTTGTGTTTTGGTGTCTCCGTCTTAAAAGCCTGTGTTACGGCACCGGCACTCGATAGCATTTGCATGGCTACGTCGTCGCACTACAAAGAAGAAACACAGCCGAGGCTCGTCACAGTGATGATCTGGAAGCCTCAGGAATACTGTATGTTACCTAACAGTCTGTAGACAGGAGGAAAAATGTCCTTTTTTTAAAGACTCGTCTTGTTTTCTTTCCCTTTTGCCTTTTATTGTATTTGTTTCTGTATCATAGCAGTCAATGGTTTTGCATTAAATGCATAAGGGTTTTGGGATGTAAATGGAATTTTATTCATATTTTGTCCAAATACCTCTTGTAATTTGTATCAGAATTCTTGTACAATTTTTATATTAAAGATTTATCAGTCACTGGCATTTGGTTGTCAGATTTTATTCTGTGGCCATGAAACAAGATTAACAACAATAAAGTAAAATATTCACAATTTAAGGCAAATATAATAGCTATAAATAGCTGTTTTAGTAAATCTTTTTTATTAAATAACTGGAAAAAAAACCGAAAACATCCATTGTCATGCTTTCATGACTGTCACCGAGTTACCAAATATATTATAACCTTACTGATAAAGTCACATGACAAACCAGCTGAGCAGCAGCAGGGAATAGAAATTATTAACAAAAAATAATTAAATAAAAAGATTAAAAAACATTGATTCTATTCTCTAGGGAGAATTGCATAAAATATATTCTACATTTTTTCCTTCTTTTACTGCCAAAAAAATAAAAAATCCGCCTCGTAGGTGTCTTAAAATGGACAAGACGCCTGATGTAATGTGTCAATCAAGCCAGAGTGATAAGGCACGACGTTCAGTCTGTGTTACTGGTCTGCTTAATTACCCTGTGATAAAACCCACCGGGGAAAAGGCTATCTTGACCAATCGGTGGGTGTTTATAATTAATAAAGTTATTAAATGATGTACCGGCGAGGTTCATGAGAGGAAAGTGTGCTGGTTTAGCAAATTAGAAAGACGGAAGACGGAGACGAAGGACACGGAGTTGTGGCCCAGGATGAAGACTTAAAGTAAAGCTCTTCTACAAACGGAAATTAAACTCCTTTAAACTGTTACAAATACAACTGATCACAGTAACACAGACACATATTTCATAAATAATATCTCCATGCTGGGATGAGGCTGTGACACTGAGGGCTGGTAATGACAACGCCAAACAAACGCAGGGTCATTTTGCACAAAGGAACCTGTGCTGACATCATTTGCTGTAAGTGTGGCTCGAATTACAAATTCATATGAGCTCCAGCAGCG